CCCAGAGGAGATGGGAACCACTCGCCTTCATAGTTTGCTCGAGCGGTTCATCAGCCTTCCCCCTGAAATCACATACCTTAACTTCAGCCCTTTGGCTAAGGTTATATTCTTCCCTGAGGACATTTTTCAATATGATGTTTCTTCAATGCAATTTAAAAAAAAAACACTGAACTGAGGACAGGATGAAACACTCTAACAGAGCCACTGCTGCCACACTGGGGTGTTGTAAAAGAGAGGCAGAAATTGCTGGTAGTGTCAGCAGAAACACAAAAATCAGACAGACTCTTCAATCTTCACAGGGGGTACGGAGCCAGAGGAAGCACACCAACATGTTTCTTTACATCTTGAGAATTTCCAAAATCAAAAGGGAAAAACAATTGAGTAATTTGCATAAAGCCTCAAGCTAAACAGTGATGTTTCACTGTGTCTAACCCAACACAAGTGTTTTTGGCACCCTGTCCATGAGAAGGGAAGATCTCTGACCAGAGACAAACAGATCTTGAGTCTTGTGGTACCTCCCAGCACCTCCTCTCTACACAGCAACTCAAATGCATAGGGTACATCCACCAGGACCTGTCCTACCACAAGCATCTTCTTAGATGGTGGAAGTCAAGGCTGACTGCCTGGCCTGAGGCAGGTCATCTCTAGTAGGCTTGTCCGATGAAGGTCTGAGCAGCTGAGAACAGATGAGAGCATGAGGTGGGCCACCTCATGAAAAGCCTGAGTGTTGGTGTGAGACTGCATGCAGGGGAAGATCCCAGGAAGGATGTGAGAGGACAAGAACACAGGAGACAGCACATAAGAGCTTGTGACAATGTGTGTGTGAGAAAGAAAATAGATGTGAGAGCAGTTCATGGAGTTACTTCATTCCACAGCATGAACAAGCACAGATGGATGTGTAGAAGAGCCATGAACAGTACCAGGAACCCATCAAAGAGTAAGAGTATGGTAGAGACACAGGACATAGATGAACCAAACATTACAGTAGAGCTCCTGAGAAGAACAGAACCACATGTAAGTTTTCTCTGTACTGTATTTTAGTATTTAGTATAAAATACTAAATAAATACTTTGTTTAGTATTTTAGGAAAGTACTGGAGTAGTGTATTTGTCTTCCCACCCAGCTCTTACCACGTTGTGGTACCCATACAACACTGTGTTACCATGACTAAGCTTTCAGGAAACTACCGCATCACTTTTGAGGACAGCACCAATATTTCCATAGTTACTAAGCTTCAGCCTTTCTAAATATTCTAGCTTCATCATAACTCTAATGTCAAGAAGGCCTTATGACAGACACCTTAGAAATGTGGGGCTGATCTGATTAGGCACACCAAACGATTGTAGGCTTTCCTCTTTAGCTGTTCAATGACATGGTGTATCTCGTTACTTCATGAAACGTCAAAAATTGAGGTTTAAAATGCCTTAGACAAAATACCATTTAAATAAGGAGGAAAAAACATATATTTCAGTGGTCACTCCTTGGCACATTCCTGCTATTGTGAAAGTTCACATCTCACAAGGGCTGGGGCAGAAATCCCCCTCTCCAGGCCTGCAGATTGAGTAGAGCTACAACAGGTAAATTTGTGGAAATACAGAAAGAAAAACAGTTAGATAAATCCTATTTTTTCCTCAAGCCCACCTGTCTTGACTTGGATAGGACTATAAATTGCACCAGCTGAGGATATGGCCCACTGCTGTGATTTTATTTTATCCTTGGTTTACTTTGTGAATTCTTCTTAGCTTTTTTTTCAGGATCTGTAATTTCGCTTTCAATGGCTCAGTAGTGAACAGGTTGAGTTTCAAGGAGAGAGACCTTCCAAACCTACACATGTAGAGTTCATCACCATGTTACTGCAGTCCTGCATGGACTGGCACCACCAAAACGCAGCAGCCCAAGAATGGATCATTATATATATTTTATATAAAATAATATGCGAAGTATTTTTAAATTACATTTTCCTGTTTAATATTACCAAAATATTTTGTTGACATGCTGGTATCTGAGAGATTGCAGCCACAAACTAAGATTGCACATGCTTAGAAAATGTGTAAATGCAGAACAGAGTAAATACACGTCCAAGTACTACCTGAACCAGCCACTGCCTTGCTGATAAAGGCTTTAGGAAAACACTACTGCCCAAGGGCATTGAGCAGAGCAAACAACATAGACCTCAGCCATCAAAGGAAGCAATTCTTTGAGTGGAAAAAACTTGTTTTCTTACACATGGAGATGACATCCAATTCAAGATGCCTATTTCAGTATCAGTGTGGCTGGACATGATTTAGAGGCACCTGTGAATAATTATTTCCAGCTCTGGAAGAGAGAGCTGGTACTCATTAGCGGTTCCTTGAAGCCCAGATGATATCATGATTAACTGAACTGGGATCTTTTTAATAATTCCAGCAGTTTCAACTCTCCCTTGTTAAAAATCTGCTGAAAAGTTTTCATTCAGTTTAAAGACTCCTCTCAGAGAGCAAATCATTCATAGATTGTACACACGGATTTAACATTCACAAATCAATGCACTTGAAACAGAGTATGTTTTTAAAGTTTCTCTTTCACTTTCTTCCCTGATTTAATGCTTTTCTTTCTTCTAACCAATTTTACCTCAGGCATTTAAAACTGCTGCATGAAAAAGGGCTGCTTTTCTGTTAGAAATGCTTTTAGCACTTTGGCACCCTAAAATGGAAGGTGGCAGAGAAATGCAAAATACAGCTACAACACTAATCCAGTACATCTCATCTGACACACCAAGGTTTTCACTTCAAGCCCACCCATGCTAGAGAAAAATCTATTAGAGGGTGAGATCAGCCGCCGGCTGTCCAACACGGTTCAGCATTACAGTGCAGGAGGAATCAAAGCCGATTTTATCCCTGCTCCTAAATAATGCCAGAGGAAAACATTTTGATCCAGAGGCTTTGAAGGTATTTAGACTTTTGCTTAGCTCCTATTTAAGTACTTTACTGTCAGTAACTCAGGGTGTGTCCCATCTCCTGCACTCTGTACATCTGCTACTTTAGTCAGTGAACAGACCTTCAATGCCTTCAGTGGGAATGGAACAAGTACTTTAATGATTTGCTCAGTGATGGCCTAAATCTTTAAGCAGTTTCACACCCCAGTAAGTCACACCAGAGCTGGTAGGAACTGCAGGTGCTACGCTGGTGGGTGGCCAAGGACAGAACCAAAACTCAGATTCAAATCTCCTAATTATCAGCCTGCTCTCTGAAACTAAGGAATGCACAACTGATGTGTAGGCTGATAAATGCACATACATTCATAATGAATATGGTTATGTCTGGAAAACAGCTCTGTTTTCTGTACACAGGCCCAGGTCTGTGATCCAGGGAGTTTAATTTTCTAAAACTTTCCAGGTTGACAAAGTCAAGTTTAAGAACTTCACTGCTTCAGATCTAAGGACTTACTAACCCAGTGGTGAGGCTAAGACAATGGTTAATAGTTTGAGACACTAATTGACCATATTTAATGAATTTAATTTGTAACAACCATGCTAATATCCATAACTATTAACTGATCAGCTTTACCTTCCTTGGGACCAACACCTGCTCCCATTAACTTCAGTGGGATACAGATCAAGGCCACATTAATCCTTTCCGGACCTCTTCAGTGGCACAAATTAACCCTTGCAGATGGCTTCATACATAACAACCAGGAAGATGACAGAGTTGAAGAACCACAGCAAACTGTCCTGCTGCTCTAACAAATCTGATCACATTAAGACTTTCCTCCCCAACACTCCTCTCAGGAAGGGAACTGCATGCCTAAGGTGACAAGCAGGGCCACACCTCTCCTGGCATGGAATTCTGACAGCAAAAATTTGATGAAGGTGATGAGAACACACCATAACACTCAGTTCTTCTGCTGCACTTTTCTTCTCCAAAGACCTGGGCAGACGTGCATTTGATTTGCTAAGTCAGTGTTTTTCTATGTGCTTGTCACAACAGAGTTGTGTGACCCACCTCCATATTAAACCACCAGCCTGATTCTTACTCACAGCCTGTTCATAGGAAATCAGTGAGCCCATGAACCAGGAATACTCTGTTTATAGGGAGCCCTCCCTTGGAAGCAGAAAGAAACTAAACTATTACAGTCAAAACTTGTTCTACAGTATTTTGAAAGTGGCACGCAGAGTATGAAAAGCACTACTCGGGATTAACAACGCGTCTGTTTGAGACGCTCTTCAAGTTGCAATTAAGGCAGGAGGGACACAGCAACGAGGGTGATGCCCAAAACAACCGAACTTTAATTACAACATACATATGTACAGAAGCCTATATGCTTACTTCCTTCAGCGCTCCCGGCTCTCTACCTCTACAGTATCCTATAAGGGAAAATTTGTTTTAACAAAAATAAAACTCTCCGTTCAGCCAAAAAAGCACCAGCCAGCACCCTGCTCCCTTGCACCATCTGTGCCTGTTTATTCTCAGCCTCCTGAAAAAAAAAAACCACAACTCTTAACGTTTTACTAATCTTTATGCCCCGTCACTATAAATAACAGAAATAAACCCCAACAACCGTTAAGACATCCAATCCACACCGATTATTTCTGCTTGTCTGTCCACGAATAGATGCAGCCATCGGCTTTGGGGGAGAGCGTGCAAGTCAGACCGCATTTATTTACAATTGCACTACCAAGAAGAAGCCTTTCCCCATCTCCTCGCCCAGTTAATATTTTCAAACACTTTTTTTGCCCTTTTTTTTTCTCTTTTTTTGGGGGGTGAGGAGGGGTGTCAGCCCAGCTCCTGCCTCATTATATATACATATATATATATATATAGTTGTCTGTGTTTCCAGATCACCCAGACTTCTTGCTCGGATGGATGAGCAGTGCGCGGAGCAGCACCAATGCGTGCACACAAGGACATACAGACACACAGACAGACAGACACGCACCCACCCGCAGGGGACCCCGCGCATCCCCGCAGGGAAGGGACACCACCACCACCCTCCACCTCCCGCAGCCGCTCCCCGCCACTTACGTCCCCAGCGTCTCCTTGAACTCGAAGATCTTCTTGATGTCCTCCGCTTGCTTCTTCCAGGAGCCGCCACCGTCCCCGTTCTCCCGGGCCATGGCCACGGCGCGCAACCCCGGGCAGCCCCGCGGATGCTGGCGCGAGCGGCACCGAGCCGTGCGCGGCTTTTGCTTTCTCTTCTGCCGCGGCGGCGGCTGCTGCTGCTGTTGCTGTTGCTGTTTCTTCTTCTTCTTCTTCTTCCTCCTCCTTCTTCTCCCCTTCCTTCCCCTCCTCACACTTCCTGCCCGCCGCCGCTTTTATTTCCTCCGCGCTCCGGCGGGCTCCGCTAGTGCCACTTTTCCTGGGCTATTTCCTACCAACTTTCTCTGCCGCCCCCTCCTCTATCCCCCCTTTCCCCTCCTCCGCACCGCCCCGCGGAGTCACTCGCGGGGTTCCCCCGTCCCTCCCTCTTTCCGCACCCTGCACAGCAGCTGCGCGCAGCCTGTCGGGGTCACTTTGGTTCCTGATAGACCCACCCAGCGAAAAAGTCCCTTTTGTTTTTTTTTTTCTCTTTTTGGGGGGAGGGCTATCACTGTTTTCTTCCCCACCCCCCTTGCGGGGCCCCGGGGGATGCTCAGCCTCCCGGCCGCGGAGCGGTGCGGAGCGGCGCGGAGCGGCGCCGCCGGTACCGCGGGCGCAGCGGCTGTGCGCGGTTGTTATGGCAATGGGAGGAGGAGGAGAAGGAAGAGGAAGAGGAGGAAGAAGGAGGAGGCAGCCCCGCCGCTGCTCTGCTGCCTGGCGCTGCCCCTCCTGACTGAATGACTGAAGATAATTCGCATTGCACCAAAACCGCGCACGTCAAACGGGAGGGGAGGGAAAGCGAAGAGGGGGGGGGAAAGGGAAAGCAAGGGGAAAAAAATTTAAAAAGCCACACCACAAGCGGCCGCGCTGCCTGGATGGGCGCTGCGCAGGGATGCGCCGGGGTGCGCGGAGGTGATGGTGCCAGCCTGCCTCGCGCACACACACGCACACATTCCTGGGATGCAAAAGCTCGCCCCTTCTCACGGACCCCCCCTTACCCAGCACCATCAGAGAAGCAAGGGGCATCCAAACACCAGGGTCACCCCCTTGAGCAGCACCAAGCCCGGAGGCAGGTGTATGGGCACTGTGTAGCCTTGTCAAGAAGCCCAAGTCCCGGCACCGTGTCCTGAGGCAGGCAGGACATCGGCCTGGCACGCACACACTCATGGCCCCGCTGAGGTTATTGCTAAAAGCAGCTTTTTCTCAGCGACACTGAGACCTCTAGTGTTGTCACATCGGGCATCAGCTGAGCTCTGATGCGTGGTGATGGGCAGAATTCATCAGAAACATCAGAGAAAATTGCAGCCTAGGTTAACTGAGATATACATTTATAGTTTATAAATGCTTAGCCTTCAGTTTCAGAATATGTAAGGGCACTAAAAAAAGTGCAATTCTTTTGGGACACAAGCGACTAAAGCACAGGCCTTGCTGCTGGCAGGTGCAGGCACTCCTGTGCCGCAGGGGCAGCTTCAAACCTGTCCATCACATTAGGTACCTGGAAATAAATCCTAATATAAGCGGCTAAATAATATTTACTTAATGTTATTGTATAAATAAAAGCAGATGTGATTGTACACACATACCTGTTTAACATGCATCGCGTCCTTTAACAGACCCCTTAAAATTCTACTTTCAAAGCTGTTTTTCCAAATTTTCCTTAATTTATGGGAAGAATGTAGAAGGTATCAGCCTGTGAGGCTTTCCCTGGGTCTGGGCTGAGCTGTGCCTCCCACTTCAAAGAGGATGTGGCAAAGGTGGGAATTTGGAGGTGCATGAAGGTGTTAAACTTGGAGAGCAGGCTGGGGTGTCTGAGCAATGCTACCCTCTGCTGGGCAGAGCCACTCGGCTTTGCATGTCCCAGCTCCCGCAATTCAGCGCCGCACCTCTCTATTTTGATGTTTTGTGGCTGTGCAGCAACATGGGCAGACCAAAGAGCTTGGGATGTCCTACAGCGGGTGCTTACCTGCGTTTTGAACAGCTTTCCTTCTGCTCCTGACTTATTCCCATTGTATCACTACGCTTTTTATTTTGTTGCTTGATCCTTATGACCTGCTCCATGGTAGTGTCACCAGAAGTCCCCAGGCAGGCTTTCTATGCCACTTCACACCTGGGAAATGAAAGCCATGATTGAGCTAAAAGGATGTCATTGATCACCAAATCCAAGTTTCCCTTCAACCTGCATCCCCTCGATAGTTTCTCGCTTTTTCACACATAAGCCACTCGGTATCAAAAATGCTGCACTGTGATTTGGGCTTACTGAGTGGGGCTAGCCTCCTGTCTTCTGGATAAGATCGAGAGAGTTTGAGGCCAGAAAGGGCAAGTGTGATCATCTGCCCTGCCCTGACCTCCAGAGTGACAGAAGCCAAAGAGCTTCATCATCCAGAAGATGTCTGTACACCAATGCGCGCAGCATGGGAAATAAGCAGGAGGAGTTGGAAACCTGTGTTAAGTCAGGAGACTATGATCTGGTGGCAATTACAGAGACGTGGTGGGACAGCTCACATGACTGGAATACAGTCATGGAGGGCTATGTCCTTTTCAGGAAAGACAGGCCAGCCAGGAGGGGTGGTGGGGTTGCTCTTTATGTGCGGGAGCAACTACAATGCACCGAGTTCTGTCCGGGGACAGATGACGAGCGAGTTGAGAGTCTGTGGGTGAGAATTAAGGGGCAGGCTGGCAGGGGGGATACTGTTGTAGGTGTCTGTTACAGACCACCGGATCAGGGTGAGGAAGTTGACGAGGCCTTCTACAGGCAGCTGAGAGCGGCCTCACAGTCACAGGCCGTGGTCATCATGGGGGATTTTAACTTCCCTGATGTTTGCTGGAAGGACCACTCGGCAACCCAGCCGCAGTCCAGGAGGTTCCTCCAGTGTATGGATGATAACTTCCTCCTGCAAATGGTGGATGAGCCGACCAGGAGAGGAGCGCTGCTGGATCTCATCCTCACTAACAAGGAGGGCCTGGTTGAAGCAGTAAGGGTTGAGGGCTGCCTTGGTTGCAGCGACCACGAGATGGTGAAGTTCAGGATCTTGTGTGGTAGGACTAGTAGAATACCAAGTAGAATTGCAACCCTGGACTTTAGCAGGGCAAACTTTGGCCTTTTCAAACAATTGCTAGGGGAAATCCCATGGGCAAGGCTGCTTGAAGGTATAGGGGCCCAAGATAGTTGGTTGACATTCAAGGACTGCTTTTTCCGTGCTCAAGATCGGAGCATCCCGACACGTAGGAAGTCAAGGAAGAGGGCCAAGAGACCTGCGTGGCTAAATAGGGAATTGCTGGGTATGCTCAAGTGGAAGAGGAGAGTTTACAGGTCATGGAAGGAGGGGCTGGCCACTTGGGAGGAATATAAGGCTGCTGCTAGAGGATGTAGGAAGGCAGCTAGGAGGACTAAGGCATCCTTAGAATTAAACCTGGCAAGAAGGGTCAAGGACAGCAAAAAGAGCTTTTTCAAATACATGGCAGACAAAACTAACACCAGAGGCAATGTAGGCCCACTGATGAACGGGATGGGTGCCCTGGTGACAGAAGATGCAGAAATGGCAGAGTTACTGAATGCCTTCTTTGTCTCTGTCTAGTCCTGAAGAGCCCTGTACCCCTGAGACCTCAGATGAAGTCAGGTCAACGGAGCGGTTTGCCTTAGTCGATGAGGAATGGGTTAGAGACCAGTTGAGCAATCTGGACATCCATAAATCCATGGGTCCAGATGGGATGCACCCGCGGGTGCTGAGGGAACTGGCGGAAGTCATTGCTAGACCACTCGCCATCATCTTTACCAAGTCTTGGGAAACGGGAGAGGTGCCTGAGGACTGGAGGAAGGCAAATGTCACTCCAGTCTTCAAAAAGGGCAAGAAGGAGGACCCGGGTAACTATAGACCAGTCAGCCTCACCTCCATCCCTGGGAAAGTGATGGAACACCTTGTCCTTGGTGCCATCTTAAGGCATATCAAGGATAAGAGGGTTATGTGGGGCAGTCAACATGGCTTCACCAGGGGGAAATCATGTTTGACCAATCTCTTAGCCTTTTATGAGGAAATAACACGGTGGATGGATGATGGCAGAGCGGTGGATGTGGTCTACCTTGACTTCAGCAAAGCATTTGACACAGTCTCCCACAGCATCCTCACAGCTAAATTGAGGAAGTGTGGTCTGGATGATCAGGTAGTGAGGTGGACTGTGAACTGGCTGAAGGAGAGAAGCCAGAGAGTTGTAGTCTATGGGGCTGAGTCTAGTTGGAGGCCTGTAACTAGTGGAGTGCCTCAAGGATCAGTACTGGGACCGGTATTATTTAATATATTCATCAACGATTTAGATGAGGGAATCGAGTGTACTATCAGCAAGTTTGCTGATGACACTAAGCTGGGAGGAGTGGCTGACACGCCAGAAGGCTGTGCTGCCATCCAGCGAGACCTGGACAGGCTGGAGAGTTGGGCAGGGAATAACTGGATGAAATATAACAAGGGAAAGTGTAGAGTCCTGCATCTGGGCAGGAACAACCCCAGGTTCCAGTATAGGTTGGGAAACGACCTGTTAGAGAGCAGTGTAGGGGAGAGGGACCTGGGGGTCCTAGTGGACGACAGGATGACCATGAGCCAACACTGTGCCCTTGTGGCCAAGAAGGCCAATGGCATCCTGGGGTGTATTAGAAGGGCGGTGGTTAGTAGGTCGAGAGAGGTCCTCCTTCCCCTCTACTCTGCCCTGGTGAGACCCCATCTGGAATATTGTGTCCAGTTCTGGGCCCCTCAGTTCAAGAAGGACAGGGAGCTGCTGGAGAGAGTCCAGCGCAGGGCAACCAAGATGATTAAGGGAGTGGAGCATCTCCCTTATGAGGAAAGACTGAGGGAGCTGGGTCTCTATAGTTTGGAGAAGAGGAGACTGAGGGGTGACCTTATTAGTGTCTATAAATATATAAAGGGGGAGTGTCACGAGGATGGAGCCAGGCTCTACTCAGTGGCAAACAATGATAGGACAAGGGGTAATGGGTACAAACTGGAACACAAGAGGTTCCACTTAAACTTGAGAAGAAACTTCTTCTCAGTGAGGGTGACGGAACACTGGAACAGGCTGCCCAGGGAGGTTGTGGAGTCTCCTTCCCTGGAGACATTCAAAACCCGCCTGGACACATTCCTGTGTAACATTATCTAGGTGTTCCTGCTCCGGCAGGGGGATTGGACTAGATGATCTTTTGAGGTCCCTTCCAATCTCTGGCATACTGTGATACTGTGATGAGCACCATAACTTGTCTTGGAGCTATGGCATACCGAAACCACCCACCACTATTATTCATGAAGTCATGTTGGTCCCTACAGTGTCAGGTTAAAACCTCACTGCACAGACAGCATCACCCACTTTCCATCCTCACTTTTAACAGCCAAAAAATTTATTTACAATTGCTCAAATCCTTGCAAATGCTGCAATTTCTCAGCATCAAAATTGCATAAGATAAAGGTACATGTCAGCCTGTAAATCTAAGTTTTCTTTTCCTTATTTAACTTGCATCTTCAGCACCACATGAATATGCCTTTTTTTGTGATAAAATAACTCATGTGATGTAGCAGGTAATACAGAAATCTCTGGAGCCATTACAGTTTTAATGAGAAGTATACGTGATGCTCCTATTAGGCAGGAACCACTAGCACAATAGACCGTAACAGCCCCTTCAGAGTCATTACAATCTGTCATGTCAGGCTGAATTTAGGGAGTCTGTAATCTTGCTTGACTGGCAAGCACCTGTAGAGCTATTGTG